CTTGTCTCTTCTTGACAAAGGGCTACTTGGGCTGAAACGGGTGTACCCCCTCTCCACTCACGTCAGTGTGGGAGGCTGGGTTCTGCCGTGTGCATCTCCCTGCAGCACTTGTAGGGCCGCGGTCCTCTGGAGTCCTCCCTGTGCTCTCAAGGCCCTTCATGGTGATGCTGCCGCTCTCTCCTGCTGTGTCATCTACCAGCCCTGCTCCAGCCCGTCAGGAGCCCAACGAAACACTTCCGTTCCCCAGACTCGCCTTGATCTCTCTGGCGAAGAAAGGCGCCTCCTACCTGGAATGTTCTTTTTCATCCTATCGCCGGGCTTGAACCCATTTTCCATAGATGGCTGTCTGTCAAGGAAGTCTCACTCGCCGAAGGTCCGGGCGAGGTCCTGCACCTCTCCCCTACCACACTGAACTTCGCCTCCTGTTGCTGGCCTCCCTGAGAGCTGCGAAGCCCTGGCGGCAGGAATGTGGTCCTGCTCCCTCTGGAGGTGCCAGCCTCCAGCCTGCACAGAGCAGAGACTCTGTGGGTGTTAATGGAATAGATACATGTGTGTGTCAGTGCCCCAGGTACCTCTCAGGGATTCTCTGGCCAATGAACAAAATGGAACGTGCCCTCCTTTCAGCAGCTCTAAGGGGGTCTCCCGCTCCACTTTCACGGGGGTTCTGGGCCTCTGTCTGTGAGCTTATGTGATATGCCCTCAGACAGCAAAAAGGCTTGGTTCTGGATTTTCAAAATCAATGTAGCTAATTAAAAAGTAACTCGAACTGGAAAACAAGTTTAGAAACAATTAAGATAATTAAAATATCACAACCTTAATTGAGACCAAGCCCTAAGCTTAAAAATGAAAATGAACTAAAAAAAAAAAAAAGACACGAAGCCTATAATGAACTTGCTTTCAAATTCAGTGTTTTCCAGCTTACTACATCTCTCTTGAAATTAATTTGTTCCTCTTTTCTTCTTAGAAAACAATTTCTGTAAAAATTATGAAACAAATTAATCGGGCATGTGTTCTGTGCCAGCTGACCTTTGATTGGTGTTGGGAAATGGGCAGGAGAGAGGACACGGAGCACTCGTGGGGGAGCGCTCTGGGTCAGGGACACTGGCCTCGTGTGGGCCTCAGAAATCTTGAGGGGAGCGGGACTGGGGCAGGCGATCCAGGACTCTGCCATCCTGTGGGCAGTGCTACGTCCTGTTGTCAAGCCTGTGGTGGGAGAGGGAGAAACTTGGAACACAGGCTCCTGAAATCATTAGCCCCTTGACAAGGAAGCTTCTAGGCCTGCTCCCGGTTATCACTAACACTCAGCTCTCTCTCCCTGCCTCTTTCCCTGAGCAATTTCCCTGTCCCTTATTAAAGGGCCTCTCAAATGCCACTTACTATTCTGATCTGTTATCGTTCCCTTTACAAAGTGGAGCCACATAGCCCTGTCCACTGCGGCTGTCGGCTGCTCTCCGGTGTCACCGCGGACGCTGGGGTTCCTCAGAAAAGCACAGCTGGGAGGCCGCGTTTAAAGGCAGATGACACACTCCCTTCATCATCCTCATCCCCTCTTAATCTCAGCGTTGCTGTTTTTCAGACACAAAATGCACCGTGGTGATTAAAATGAACACCGACAGCTTGATTTATTACTGTTTTGTTCTGCAAAGTTCATTTACTCAAAATAATTCGCATACATGTTTGAAGTATTCAGACCCTGGTAATTAATTTTTAGCAGACTTTATTTCTGTATGCAAACTGTTAAGTATGTGTATGGAGTTAAGGGACTGGTTTTCACTGAGTAGTCTTTATGGTTGGATTTTGGGTTGTTTGTTTTGAAGAAATGCCGGCTTCGTGAATTAGAGGAGTGGTGATTTATAGTTGTTTGCCATGTGCCAAGGCTGCAGAAAGAAAACTGGCCAAATCAGTGGTCTGTGTTGTTAGCTGGACGGTTGCCGCCTTCAGAGGCAGCAGACAGAGAGGGCAGTTGCCCAGGGCCGGACACCTCACCTTCCCGGGAAGCCCTGGGGCTGTCAGGCCGTGGTTCTGGCCTGGGCACACCGGATTCCCTAGCTGTCCTTGAGTTAGACCCTTGAGCCTCTTTCTGCCCTGAGGGCCTCCCAAGAACCTGGTGCACTTGGGCTCTCTACTTGGTGTGAGGTGTGGCCCCAAGGTTAAGTCCTCACGGGAGATCCTAGGTGATTCTCACCCTCCTGGCCTCTGAAGGTGAGATGTTTGTGTTCTGGAGTCAGCTGGTCGGGTGTGACATTCCCTCTGCACTGCTCATCCGCTCATCCGTGACTCCTCTTTAAGACCTTCGTTTGTAAAATGGGCACATTACCAGCAGCCGCCTCTTTGGGTGGTTTCGAGAATTACACATGGTAATCCAGTTAGAGGGCTTGGTTCATGGCCCACATGTCTGAAGCCGTGGGTAAATGTCAAGCTATTCTTGTTAGTACGAAGTCGTCTTACTCATTCTGCGCACACAATGCTCAAAAAAGGAGCAAACCCCTACAAGTGGTGTAACCTAGACAAGGTCCGTTTTACACACTCGCAAATATGAACTCGTGGACTCCTCCTGACAACCCAAACAACAGCAGACGGCATTATCCACCCCGTGTAGAAGGGGAAACTGAGGCACGGGGGAGCCGCAGAGCTGGCATTCAGACTCGGAAATACGGGGCCTGGAGCCTGCTCTTCCGTACTTGGTGCAGCTCACCCAGTCGCTCTGAGATGGCACCATCCATGGAGGTCATCTGGGCCGCAGTGTGGACGTGGATGTCTGTGGAGTTGCCTGCAGAGAGAAAGAGAACCCCGGGTCTGGCCCTGAAGCGGGTCCTACAGTACTCCAGATTTTGCTATGCATCGCCCTGTCGGTTTCCACCTTGGCCTCACACTCCAGTGAAAATCCCCGGGGTTCTGCAGCACTGAGCCCCTGTCAGGGAAATGCTGAAGCTGGTACCTCAGCGGGGGCTGCCTGTGGTCCTGTCCCTGAGTTCCTGGAGCTCCCTAATGTCTGACTTTCTCCTGTGGTGAGGAGGGCCCCACAAAGGATTGGCACGGTGGTCATCAGTGCTTGTCCCGTAGTCATTCTGCAGGTGGGCTTAATTTTGCGTGAGTCTTGGAAAGCAGGTCAGAGTTGGTTGGGCGGCCACTCTAGGGTTGGGGGTGTGAGACATTGCCCAAGGAGGAGGCCAGTGGCCTGAGGCCGTGCCAGCCTCCTGGCTTCTCAGGTGGACATCCTGAGGACGAGGAGCATTCCACCTAGGACTGGGAAGACTTTGCTGTGAGTTTCCAGAAGGCCCAGCCTCCGGGGACTCTGCGAGCAGACACAGGCTCCCCCCACCCGCCCCCGCCCCGTCGTTTGCCTGCCGGATGCAGCCCTTAGCTGAAGAGTTCAAAGCGAACACCCTGTCCCTGGGGCTTGAATTAGCCTCTTTTATTGTCCTGCAGCTCATTTCCCCCTGCTAAGCTTCAGGCAGGCAGACAGTCCCTTGGGGAGTAGGCTGTGCCGATGACTCCCTGGGGACCAGGACCCCGGTCTTGTTGCTGACTTGACTGGCCAAACCAATGTACCCTGCCGGTGTGGACGGCAGCCGAGGCTGCTGCAGCGGAGCGAGCCTCCCCAAGCTGTTCACGCAGCACAAAGGCCTCTGAGTCTTGTGGGTTCCCATCCCCCGAGACATACCCCGCAGCCGTGGCCTTTGGAGGGAGGTGGTCTTGAGACTGGGAGTCTGTGCAGGCTGAGAGGAAACAGGACTTCTCTAAGCGTAAGGGTTTCATGGTCACCAAGGGACCCAGCCTGTGGAGGGGACCATGGCATTTCTCTGGGCAGGTGTTCTGTCCCTGCTTGGGACGCCCATTGGTGTAACCGCCTATCTGTGTGGGGAGGACATGGGGCAACGTCCCCTCCTCTGGCTGCGGAGAGAAGTTATGAAGGATTTACTGCCTAAATAGGCTTTCGGCCTGGAACTGGGAGATGGTACGATTGTTTTTGTTTTGCAGAGAATCCCCTACGGCCTCTTCTCTGCTCTGAGCATCTGAGGAACGTGGGTTCCTCAGCTTGCTGAGCACGGATGAGCCTGGGGCCGGCTGCTCAGCCGGTTCTGGGAGACTTTGCGGTCGAGGAACTGCTGCTGTGGGAGACCCTCTCTCCCTCTCTCCACTGCCTGGGTTGAATCGACATCCCCTCCCTTCCCCCTGTCATCCCCACGTGCAGGCCACACTTACTCTTCAGGGGAGTGGGGGGAGTGTCTTGCCGGTGGCCCAGATGTGCCTCCCTGTGCTGGCGTGTACTGGTCTTCATGCCTTGACTGCCGCCCCACTCTGCTCCTCCGTCAATATCCAGTTCACATACTAATGCTTCATTAATCCGTGTCCCAGAAATTGATCTCTATTTTTCTCTCGAGCTCTGTTATCATTTTATATGCCCGGCAGGGCCCTTATCTCCTCCCGCCTTGCACGATAAATATTTATGTGTCAGCTTGTCCCCCTCCTTATTATACCAGAACTTTGTGTGGCACAGAACGGTCTTGCACATCCTGAAGTTGTCCCCAAATTTAAAATAAGCATGGATGCACACAGTCCATGTTGATGGAACCGGGGCCAAAAAAAAAAACTCTGTCCTCAAGGACTTTTGTAGTTGCAGGGAATAAGTAAAGGTAGGCGTAGGTGAAGTCATAAAAAGCAATTGCAGACAAATGACGAGAGAAGGAAAAGTAGCTCTTGGTCCTTGGAGCATGTAAGCTTCTAGGATTTTTAAAGTAATTCCTGCTTGAGATGGAGATGCTGAAACTCCCCAAAGCACAAAGGAATCACTACCCTGATGTTGAAGAAGCGCATGTGCACAGATACAGAATTCCCCCTGGTTTGGGGATTCATTCCGATCCCCATCAGCCGAAGAAAATAGCATGCAGTGCAAACACATGGTCCGTTTATTTCCCACTTGTTTATTTGAGTAGAAAGAAAAATTAAACTTCCCTGGAGGTCCTAACCCCCGCCTCTTCTTGTTCTTTTTGCCTTAGCCCTGGACCCATCCAAAGACCCCTGCCTGAAGGTGAAATGCAGCCCTCACAAAGTATGCGTGACCCAGGACTACCAGACGGCCCTGTGTGTCAGCCGCAAGCACCTGTTCCCCAGGTAAGGCAGGGGGCTGGGAGGCCCGCTCCAGCTGACAGATCTGGGGGTACCCAGTGTCTGACTGGGGGACAGTGGTGGTGGGGGGAGGAGAGAACATGTTTCTGTCACTATTTCTTTTTAAAAAGATTTTGTTTGTTTATGAGAGAGAGAGAGAGAGAGCACAAGTTGGGGGCAGAGGGAGAGGGAGAAGCAGATTTCCCACGGAGCAGGGAACCCAAGGCGGGGCTTGATCCCAGGACCCCAGGATTATGACCTGAGCCAAAGGCAGACACTTAGCCAACTGAACCACATGGGTGTCCCTTGTCATCCTTTAATATGGTGTATGGTGCCTGTAGTCCTGCTGGGTATGAATCTCAATTCTCAAACACAGATTTGCAAAGAATTTCAATATCTGTATTTGCTTTAAATCAACTTTATATGTCTCTGAGCCCACATCTGAGCAGACGAACAGAAAATCCCTTCTTGGTCATTGTGAGAACCATTCCTCCTTCCAGAATGACCCCAGAGATCCAGGAAGCTTATAGCCAAGGAAACAGAGTCTGAGCCTTTTATCTTTTGGTGACCACGGACCTGCTTCCTGTGGTAACGCTTTGAGGTTTCTCAAGGTCTGCGGGCTGTCGGCTTTCATGACCGTATAGATGTGGGCATCTTTGTCAGGCCGGGGTTTGGGTCCTTCCTCCTCAGGCGCACTGCACCACCATTCCTCCTGAGAACATGTCTTACTATTTTCTCAGTCTGCAGCACCCGGTCTCCCTTCTTCCCCAGCCCGGGGGAGGTAGGTCTCCTCACTCTCCTTTAGGATCCTTAAAGCCTTTACCTCTTGCCTTCTCCCAGCTTTGTCCATCTAGTGGGCTTAGGCTTTTGTAGATGACAGAGAGAACCTTTGAATTTGGCCTACTTGTGCATTCAGTCCTACAGAAATATTCGAAGCAAGAACCAGCACATGCACGCACACGTGCACACACACATACGCGTGTGCAAGGCTTCCTTTACCAGTGGGGTTGGGTGGGTGGAGGTGGGAGAAAGGTGATTTCAGTGCCTCATCTCCCTTCTTCCTGTACTGCTATATGGTGGAGAAGTATAGCGATGGGCCTCGGAGTCATCCCACTGGTTTTAGATATGACCGTGTGCTCTGCCGTGACCTCAGGTGGGGAACACAGCCTTCCTGGGACTTGATTCCCACCAAAATGCACCTCCTATCACTTTTGCTTGTTAATTCCACTTTGCCCCTGGGACCATGTAGGCTGTCCTGTCCCTTCCTGCACTTCTTGAAGTCTAAGCAGTGCTGGTCCCTTTGGCTGCTCCTCTTGGGACAGGTTCTAATTTCTTTCCTTCAGTTCTCTAAGTGGCTTTCTCTGAACTGCCCGGGAAGCCCCATCACGGTCCAGCACAGAGACCACCGGGAGCTGAGCCCTCACCCTTTCTGCCTCTGCAGACCTCGTCCCCGCAGCTCCTCACCCTGCCTCCACGATCACCTAAAACCAGTCATCCTTTGTCTCTGTAAGACTGAGATGCGAGGTATAATGGGTTCTGCTCTTCCCTGCAGACTGGAGCATTCTCCCTGGAAGTAAAGGCGGATGTCATCCCCAAACCCCTACCCTGTGTCAGGCGTGGTGCTCAGAAGAACTTTGAGTTCTTCTAGCCATTTTGTCAAGTTGGTATTTGTTGTTGTCTCCGCTCTGAAGACGAGAGAAGTGAGACAGAGAGAGGCAGTAGCAATTGGCTTAGGTACCCAGAAAGTGGCAGCCATGATTCAAACCCAGGACCGTCCAACTCCAAAGCTGATGTTTCCCATGACTGCCATACATTGGCCTCTCCGTTTTTCCTGTCCTCATCTGTTTGTTCATTTTCTGTCATTTAACCGAAAGGTATCAAGTACCTACCATGTGCCAGACTCGCGTTACCCACTGAAGCTACGCGCTCCGTTACTCTCAAGGAAAATCAAGTTAACTGTGGAGTGGGATGTACAAAAAGTTGGTTGTTGTTATTACTAGAAAATGTTCATAAGGCATATGAACTCTGAGAAAACTAGACTAGATTCTCCAGCTGCACGTGATTTCTTCCTTCTCTGTCGGTGGTGAGATGAAGACTCTTTTGCCACAAATACCCAAATGCCCTTTTTGGGATAGTGCTCCAGATTTCAGCCGTCGGGTTGTGTATGTGTGTGTACGGATGTATAACATGAATAGTCTCTTGCCTGTTTCCTCCTGGAATGTGGCCCCTCTGGGAGTGCCGTGTAATTGTCAGCATTACGCTCCAGTCTGCGCAAGGGGGAGGCAGAAACCGGGCATGTCTAGGGGGTGAGCGGTGTGTCCCCGCGTGGGAAGCACCACCACTTGTTTGCTTGGGTTCCAAGTGTAACCCTCATCTCCCACCTCTCCTGATGGCCACAGAGTTATAGTGACTAAGAGCAAGGATTTGGGAATGAGCCCAAGCTGGGCTCTGTTCCTAGGCTGACTGCTTCCTTCCTCTGTGACCTTGGCAAGTCACTGTACCTTTCTGAATTTGTGCATTTTCATCTGCAAAGTGGATTTAATGAAAGCACTCACCCATCCCTCTTTCCTTTTCCTTGGGATACATCCTCTAGGGACTCTTCAAGAGAGAGTTTCCAGGTAATAAGTGTCGCTAGTCCCTGCACGGGGTATTTTGTGCACGCACGTCCTTGTGTGAGAGTTCAGTGGGATGCATGTGCGTCAGGAACACAGTGTAGACTCACATTGTGACGGCTCGTCTTCCAGTTGCTAAAACAATTATGATCATCGTTATTGCTACTGTCTCGTTCATTCTGGAAGGTCAGCCAGGAAAGCCCACAGTAGCATGCTCCTGAGAAGAAGGTAGCCTCCTCCAGGTGCCCTCCCACCTTCCCAGCCTGACTGTGCCTGCTTCTCCTTCCTTTTGGAGGAAGCTGTGAGGTTCAGCATGAGGATTACAGTGTCGTTTCTGCTGCCCTCTTTGTGATTCACAGCAGGTAAGGACTAAGAAGATGACTGCATTTCTCATGATAGGGACCTTTTGTTCATTGGAAAAACAGCCCCAAGAGGAGGCTGTGATTGAGACAGCATGCCTACTCCCTTAGCAGGATTTGGGAGGTGGTCTGAGCCGGGGAAGGTTGGCAGTGGTGTTGGCTCCGGCTGTGGGCCCACCCTCCCCCGCTCCCTCTCGGAGGCTGAATTGGTCGGCCCGCCATATCAGCCGAGCACACACCTCTTCCTAGGGTCTTGGACACCTTCCCAGATGAAACATCTGTCCTGCCACATTCTACTTCAGGGGTCCCCTCTGACCAGGGAGACAGTGTTGACAACTCTATTTATTCGTCCATCAGGGAAGTAATCTTTCCCTCCGTGAAACATCTGTAGACAATCCCATCAGCCAGTCTGGCCTCTGCAGCAGCTCAAGAGGCAAACCCCGGGTGCCAGATCGGCAGCAGCACACACACATGGAGAAGCGGCTGGGCCAGCCGTGGGCTGATTACGAGTGAGGCTCCAGACTTCAGCAGTCTTGTCAAGTGTATTGAGAGAGAGGACAGTGAGCATGTCAGCGAGAAAATTTCATTAGCTTTCCTTGCCCGTGGAGAGGGAGTGAATGGGGAAGCTGTTTAACATTCACATCTGTGAGCACCAAGTGTCTGGGAGGACAGGCCGCCATTTTGGTGGGCGGCCAAGTGGGGGAAACCGGCCTCCCTCGGCTGGAGTTCACCTCTTTAGAGTGGTGTTTGGATTCTGGTTTGCATCTGGTCTCATCCAGAGGCTTCAACTACTTCCATGTTCTCTTTGGAGAGAAAATCTTTGTTTCGTCTCTTCCTGCTGTTGAGCCACACTGAGCAGTCTAGGGAGAAGGTGAATTCTTGGTAGCGTGTTCACCTTTTAGGTTCTACAAAGGGGCCATTTATGCATTTCAGAGCCCTGTGAAGGCTGCCCAGAGCTGGAAAGCCTTCTCTGAGATGACTTTTTAAAAATATCTGAATTGATTTTTGATATAGCAATCTTTGATGCTTATTACGACAAACACTAAAGATACAGAAAAGTAAAAAGAAATGGGAAATAGGCAATGGTTGCACAAGCAAAGAACAGTAATTAAACATTCCTCCTATTCTTTTTTCTAGTCAATGGGTTTTATCCATTGGTTTGTTTCTGGTAAAACTTGATCATCGAGTGATGCCTATCTTATAAATAAAGATTTGTATTGGGTTCTCTTCAGTTAATTTTTATAAATCAGTATCTTTGTGATACTATAACTCTTTGTAGATACAAATTTTATAGACTGTCATAATGTAGTATACAGAAGATTAACTTGAAATGGATCATAGACCTAAATATGAGTTAAGAATATAAAACTTCTGATAGAAAACAGGAGTAGTAACCTTGGGTTTGACAGAGATTTCTTAATTAGGGCACAGAAACATCATGAACTATAAAAGGAAGAGATAATAATAAAAAATAAAAACAAATTGGATTTCATCAAAACTGATCTTCAGAACACATAGTAACAAAAGGATAAGCCATACTAAGGGAAGATATTTATGAAACACAGGTCTGAGAAGAGGTTTGTATCTGGATTATGCAATGAAAACATCTGTCCCTACAAACACTCACTCATGAATATTTGTAGCAGTTTTACTTGTAATAGCCAATATCTAGAAGCAACCTCAAATGTCCATCAGCAGGTGAAGGGTTAAACAAATTGTGGTACATCCATACAGTGGATCACGACTCAGCAATAAAAAGAGATAGGCTATTGATGCATTCAGTAGCATGGATAAGTTTGCTAATAACTCTGCTGAGTGAAAGGGCATCGTCCAGAAAAAGAGTATATATGCCATGAGTTCTGTTTACCTGAAATCCTAGAGAATGCAGGCTAATCTGTGGTAGCAGAACACAGAGCATTGGTTGTCTGGGAGAACAGTTCAGTGGGGTGTCTGAGCAGTCTTTAAAGCTAGATAATGCAGAGTGGATCTGTCGGGAAATAGTCACACTCTGGGTTTCGATGCCAAAAATGCCACC